TATACAGGTGATTATCAGCATGAGGCTGAGGATGTTGGTGGTGAAGCTTAGGCTTCTTTATGGGCTATGCTCTGATAGGACATGTGACATCGGGGTATAGATAAGATTAGATTAGGTTGTTAATGTTATTTTAAATTACTTTGAAAACTTTGAGATTTATTTCTTTGTAATTTCCGCTGATTATGTTTGTTAAAAATGTGATACTCTTTAAACATGTTTGATTATTAAAGTTATATTATTTAAATTTATTGATTTATGATATGCGAAACAAAATCTCAAAGTATTAACTAGATAAGTCTTGTCAACCTAGCTTTATATATAAAAAAGAAATCTTTAGAAATATTGCATAGGATTACTTGGTCATTTAAAATAAAGAATTTCAAGAAAACCCAAATATAATCCTTTTGAATATAAGAATAAGGTTTTGAAAATAGAAGTTTTCTATATCTTAAGTTTTCATAAGCTAGTTTTGGTATTATAAGTCTAGTAATTGATTACCAGTACATGTAATCGATTACCAGAGGATGAAAACTTCGAAATGTTAAAATGTGCTCTTGTAATCGATTACCAGTTCTTGTAATCGATTACCAGAAGATAAAACTTTAAAATTTGAATTTAAATTATACAACGTTTCAAACATTTTGAACTTAAACCGTTGTAATCGATTACCAAGTCTTGTAATCGATTACCAGAGCCTATTTTCTGGAAAAAAAAATTATAGAAAGTTAAACCTTTTCATGAAAAGACATAACCTAAGAAACAATTGTCTATAAATACCTATAATTTTTCAGAGGAAGGTTACGAACTCAATTGTAAAAATTCTCTTTAAAAATCACTTGGCCAAAGTCATTTGCAAATATTATCTAAAGAGTTCTACTAGATCAACAAAGTGTAAAATCCACTCTTCAAAAGAGAGTTGCTCTACTTTATTCACTTCATCTATTGATCTGTAAAGGAGAAAGTGTTGTTCTTCTTGTTGGTTTGTGATTCTCAACACAAGGAAAGGGAATTCCAAGGTGTTGGAGAATTCAAGTTTTGTAAAAGTTACAAGAATAGTGGAAATCTCAAGTGGGAGACTTGAGGACTGGATGTAGGCAAGGTTGGCCGAACCAGTATAAAATCAAGTTTGAAATTCTATTTCCTTATACTTTTAATTGTGATTGTGAATTTTTTGCATCATTACATACAATTTCTTTATGATATTGAATTTATAAGAAAGATTTTAGAAAAACTCATAAAGGAAGAAAAATTAATTCCCCCCCCCCCCCCCCTCTTAAGTTATACGAGGCTACTTGACTAACAAAATATATTACATTGAAAAGCCTTATCTACTGCTTGTCTCTAAAATGAAACTATCTTGAATTAAAAGTTTTTAATGCATATATCAAGTCTTTAATTAATTGAAATCAATGTATAAAATATTTTTAAGATTATCCATCAATTTGAATTAATGAAATGAAATATCAAATAATTTTCAAACTTTTTAAAAATTTGCAAACTTTATCTATGCATTAAGAACTTTTAATTTAATGGTTATATTGTTAAAATTTGATGTAGAACATGAGTTATTTAGTGAAGTAAGTCTAAGTAGACTTACTCTTAGAGTAGATGGATCCTTCCTCAACATATATATATATATATATATATATATATATATAAAGAGAGAGAGAGAGAAGAGTAAATCTTGGTAAACTTACTTTACTTAATAACTTTTGTTCTACATCAAATTTCAATGATCCAACTGATGAAGGTGACCAACTTGACATGATTGGTTCCTTTTATCCATTCAAATTGTAATGGCATTAGGATTAGAATCTAGGATCAAATGCATTCTATCCAACTTGACATGAGTGGTTAAGTTAATCAAAATGATTTTTATTTTGGAAAAAATATTCTATGGAGAACACCTATATATATAACAATCTAACTCCCCTTACCTTAAGCGATGATTCCATAGCACAAGCATGTTTTTCGTAGCCTTAGTCGTTACTTTTCACTTTTTTTGGTGACCTCCTCTAGATTCTAGTAACAACCCATCATGGTCCTTACATTAATGACACAATTAGTCGCAACGGATGATAATTAAAACTCGGAGTTATAAGTCTACAAATAATTGAATATGTACTATATATCATTCATGTGAAAGTGAAACATTACATGGCCAAATATGATATAAATACAATAATCTAGTAAAAGTGAATTATACAACCTAAGTTGTCGGTCAAGCAATTTCTACTATATATACAATGACTACTTAAGGTAGCCATGAAACATCAACTCCAACACCACCCGGTGGCCTCCACTACATCTCTCTCTAAGCTTATCCTTGTCCTGCTCCCACACCACGTATGATCATTGCATTCCAAATCACATAAAAACACACAAGGGTAAGTTAGAATTCAAAGAAACAACATAATTGCAACACAAAAAATCAGCAACGTTGATATATCATCACATCTTCATTTCATCTTCTACATTATCAACATATAATGTCACAATACAATCAATATATATCAGCATGAACAACTCAATCTACTGCAACATAGAATCAACTTGAACATCACTACATCAACAACACAGATTGTTCATCTTAACAACATAGCATATACAACACAATAACTTAGTACATTGTCATGAATTTCAACTAGGAAATCTCCTACAACACAAGGTGAGCAGTTAAAAGTGGTTTGACCATATCGAACCAACAACATATGGTGATTTTTTTAGCTTGCTAGATCGAGAACAAATTGGATACCAATCCACAACACAACAACTTGGTTTCTTAGATGTCGCCACTTAAACAAAGAAGTCTAGTATTATTATCAAGGTAGAATAGTTGGGTATAAGCCTAACACTACATTAGCTAACATAACTAAACCTCCTATGGGATTAGCCCACTGGCTACCCTCCAAATATCATGCCTTTCTGATACTTAGTTAGGAACTAAGTTCTCGACTTTGTATTTTACTTGATTGGTCAGTTGTAATTAATATAGCTTAACCTGGCCCCTATACTGTGATCTCTTTATACATGTGTGCCTCAACCTTACTCATACAGTACCAACTAAGGTTCTAGAGGAAACTCAACTGCTCTCTTCAAGGGTCAACTTCCCAAGAATGGTTTTTCAATAAATTGGGCTTTTATAACACCACAACACAATATCCACACGGTCAAATATGTAACTTTAAAAACAACCTTTCTTTTAGTCCTAAGTTGATCAACCCTACTCAACATCACCATGCCTAAATCTAAAGCATTCTCATAACTCATTTTCTCAACAATAGAACAACATCGTGCATATTCAACATAACTACACAACCAACACACAACTCTACCACTCATAACACACATCTCAACTTATTTTCAACCCTCAATCATCATTCATCTCAAAATATTATCATATATAGAATGAACAACATTTAATAATAAACAAGAAACACTTATACATATTCTTCTCATATTCAATAATGCATCAACTTGATAACATAATTTCTTTCAAAAATCAATGTCCGATGCCATATAGCTAGCGTTCGACGTGGATAAGGTACAGGCCCTTAGGACCTCATGCCTAGTGTGGAAATGTCACGCCTAACCTCATTTCAAGTAAGGAGTCTCTACCTAACTCACGCCCGACGTGACCATACTGGCACCCGACGTCATCTAGGCAGAGAGTGCTGGCTCGATCAGGCTAGGTTCCACTCAACCTGGGGCCTAACGTTACCAAGTTAGAGACTTCCCCAAGCCCTCACACCAAACGCCATTAGAATCATGCCTAACACCAATGCAACTTGATACAAATCTCTTTTCTTGCACTCAATACCGTCGATCATGCATTTGGCGTGACAAGATAGAGAGGCTCATGTTGAAATAGAGTTCGACACCTTGAAGGTGCACCCGATGTAACAAGCAATCTGCACTTATGCAAATTACAAATCTAATTAAATCCACTTGAAACTCAACCAAGACCACATATGCAACACAAAATATTGTTCTTATTCAACACAAGCAACTCATATGCAACACCCTTTTGAACATGCAACTCATAATTAAATGAAAACATCAATCTTTTCATCATACTTTTTCCCAAAACCACAACCCTCAACTACCAACATGCAACCTACTATGAATAAACCAACTCAACTACAAATCTTAAAGATTTAAAACAACATTCAGCTCATAAACTATTCAATAAGTCAAATAATAGCAAGAATCCAGCCTCCCTTACCTCAAGCTAGCACAAAACCAAGGTAGAAAAAGGGAAAAAATGAGGTTCTACCCATTTCATGAATTTAATTCAGGATTTCCACACACTTAATCACAACGAAACAACCTAAAATTAGCTAAGAAGGAGAAGAAATCTAGGACAAGAGTAGAAGGGAAAATGAGTCCACGAACTAGAGTCTATCTATCTAAAACACTTCCTCTCTCAAAAATTTTTTATGAGACTTTATTTAAAATAGAAACCTTATATATTCCTCTCATGATCTATGTAATGTCAGGTCATGGTTGATGTTATAATTTTAATAATTAATAGATGAACATTTAAAGAAAGGATACAAATTACAAATTTTATAGAATTAAAAGACTAAAATTATAGAATTAAAAATAAAGATACTAAAAATATAATTAAACAACAACAACAAAAGTAATAATATTTAGATACCCACAATTTACAAATACTTAAATAACACATTTTGTTTTTCTTTATCTCATTCTTCTTTCATATCATATCATTAATCATTTCAATTATTTATTTTTTTCCCTTTTTAAGTGTCAATTTGTCTCCGCACATAAAAAAAATGTCTAAAAATATTTTTCAAAAAAAATATTTTAAAATAATTAATCACTCATATCAAATTAAGTAAAATAAACATAATTTTATATTCAAATTCTTAAATAATAATAAATAAATAAAACTCATGTTAAGTTGGACTTTATCTACAGCCGCGGCTAGAATTTGTGTCAACAAATTTAACAGTAACAAATAAAAACTCAAATATTTATCCATCCAATCTCTTTCAAGATCCATAACCATAACAAGCAACAACCATGTCGAACCCAAACCTCCACCCCCTCATAATCCACAAGAGTGTAACCACCACCACCATGGTCCGTGAATACCGAAAGGGTAACTGGACCCTCCAAGAAACCCTCACCCTCATCACAGCCAAGAAGCTGGACGACGAACGGAGGCTCAAAACCACAGCCAGAAACAGTGGTGGCAGCAGCGGAGAACTGAGGTGGAAGTGGGTGGAGAACTACTGCTGGAGGCACGGTTGCTTGCGGAGCCAGAACCAGTGCAACGACAAGTGGGACAACCTGCTCCGAGATTACAAGAAGGTTCGAGAGTACGAGGCCAAGGCTTCCGACAACAACAATAAGGAGTTCCCCTCTTATTGGACCATGGAAAAGCACCAAAGGAAGGAGCTCAAACTCCCCTCCAACATGCTCCTTCAAGTCTACCAAGCTGTCACTCAAGTCTTGCAAAGGAAATCATCACATGTTATTATTACTCCACTGCAACCTGTGCCATTGCTAATAGCTTCTTCCTCGCATGACACCTCACCTGTGGTGGCTACTCAACCACCGCCGTTATCAATCCCGCCGCCGCCACCGCCACCGCCACTTCCTCCACCGCCCCAGCCAGTTTCAGGTAATAATTAATGTATGTTTCAGCTTCCAAGTTTGTAACATTTTTTTTATTCTAGTATTTTAATATTTGTTCACTTTTTCTTAACATTTTTTCTCTTCTATTCTTTTTAAATTTTTATTTAGTTCCATTAAAGTAAAAATAAGATCTTGTATCGGAAATTTAATTATATAAAAATATATATATAGTTAAAAATAGAAGATCCATAATTATGGATGAAAAATATGTAATTAAAAAAAAGAATCAATTAAAAGTGGCAATTATGCTTTTCAATGAAAATTAATCATTCATAAAATTGGTAAATATTTTATATAAGTGGAGAAGAGTGAAATAAATAATATATATAAAATAATAATTTATATTTCAAATCATTCTAATTATACAACAACTAAAATTATCCAATAATTAGTAACATATTTCTTTTTGGATTTTGATATTTTCTCTTCTTATATTTTATTTTCTATTTATTTTAAGAATATTTAACTCATAAAATGAAAATAATTAAAACAAATAATTTAGGTGTTTTAAAAAAATTAATGGATTAATGTTTAAATTAAAAAAATTAATTATATATTTATACTAAAAATAAAAAGAGATTCTTTTATTTGATATCTATTTTAATCTTTTATTTTAATCTTAAAAAATATAGATAATCTCTAATAATTATATAAATTACTAAAATAAATTTGTTGTTTTCTCTTTTTCTTTTTAATGAAAATACGTGACACTTTTTTTTCTTCTCGTTACTCACTTATTCTTAAATAAGAGAAATATAAATTTTAAATTACCGAAGTAACATTTTCTAACATTTTTGTTAAACATAATTTTATAAGTTTCTAACCAATAACCAAACACACACTAATCACTCATGTTAAACTTTAAAACAAGTTATTCATTGTGTGAAAGAATTGGATTTATTTTTTGATATTTTTTTATCACTTTATTCACGGTATTTTTTTTTAAATTTTTTTTATGTCTCTCGATCTTATTTGTTAATTTCACAACCATATTTTTTGCCATTCTGTGATTTTTTTTTTTTCATTTATGTTTTAGATGTGTGGTATTTTTTGTTTGGATCTTGGTCAAACTTGTTCGGTCTGTAAACCTGCTACATTTAATGGGACCCGTTATTCTTTTTGGTAAAGTACAGTCAGTATGTTTTTTTTTATGAGTGTACATGAATGGGTCCGAATGCTCTTGGGTAAAACAAAAACCTAACAACGGTACTACTAACACAGTTCAAAACTGTGCATGATTCTTTTGAATTTGACCCATCTTTTTTGTTTAAAAAATTGCTATAATTAAGTATTTACATAACAGTGAACATAAATAATGGGCCTCCACCTATGCTAAAGTGGCATCATGCAGACCAGTGCATCATACAGATACCGTGCCGTCTCATGATTGTTATGGATTTTGTCCGAGAAAATGATTTCTTAGCTGCTTAATACTCTCATGGAGTAATCATTAATAGAATCTCTAATTCTTAATATAACAAAAGTCCAAATCTTTCTGCGGTCTAAAAATTATTAATTATTAAAAAAAAAACTTAAATACATCATATCCAAATAACTTATATAACTACTAATAAATACTAATATATTAGCTGTTAATATAATACATTATACTATAATTAATATATATATATATATATATTAAGAAAGTATCACATGATTTAACTAATGTGAGGTTGTTTTAATTTATTAAGAATAATTTTAAATTCAAATCTTGAATATTCAATTTTGTTAAATATTATGAGAGAAAATTTTATTGTCTATATAATTATTTTACTCACTTAAATATGATTATCTTTAAAATAAATATTTATAACTATAAAAAAATCTAATAAGAATTTAAAACGTGAGTAAAGAAAATATACATTCACATTTAAATAACTAAGATAATATTGTTAGTATAAACTCAATACATCATTTAATTTTTATTAAACAAATAGTTATTTTTACCCTATTTTTTATTTGATCTCGTTTCAATTTTTATCACATTATGTATCTTATGTATTACTCTCTAGTTTCATCTTGATTTTTTCTTTTATTATCGATCTCTTATTACATCCATCATCCACCCATAGAACCCATTTTTAGGTGTGCCTTCACTATTTTTCCAAATAAATATTATACTAACAAAGTATACGACATTTTATGTGGAAGTCATGCAGTTTATACATCTACGTACATATGTTATTTACTTTGTTCATTCTAGCGTAGCTCAAAGTATAGTGAATATTTATATATGTGATGGATGTGGTAGAGGGGTCAGAATCAAGTGGCACAGAGTACAATGATGAGGATGATAACTCGGAATCTAAACGTAGGAAATTTGAGAAGCTTGGATCTAGCATTATGCACAGTGCATCAGAGTTGGCACAAGCTCTTGGGAGCTGTGAGGAGAAGAAGGAGAAGAGGCACCAAGAAATGATGCAGCTTCAACAGCTTCGACTTCAGATGGAAGAAACTCGAAACCAAATGAACCAGCAAGAGTACACCAACCTTGTTTCCGCTGTCACCAACCTCACTGGTGTCATTCAATCACTCATCACTTCCATGACCAAAGCTAATAGTGATGCATGTTCCTCTTAATATTTTATGGGAATCACAAAATTTATATATATTAATTGTACCACTCATCATTGGAATCCAATACTAATTTTTGAGTCAGTTTTTCTGATTGATTATTGCACCTTGACCTTGACTTAACAATATTAGCAACCTACTTTATGAAAACTCTTTCAAATTAATATACTATTTATTATTAATCAAAATTTATTAAAAGTTATAAAATCATAAAAGAAAGATTTATTAAATAATAAGTGAGACATAATTTTTTATTATTATAGATTTTAATAAATTTATTTAATAAGAAAAGTGATTTAAAAGACTGTTATTAATTAGTATTCCTATATATATTCTCACTTTTGTTTGCCTATCATTTACCAAGTTTGTTTCAAACGAGTGGGTATCATTGTTAAAAAAAAAAACAATCTTGGATCAGTTATCCCACCCTTTGAGGTACCTCCAACGTAACGAGGAGATTAGTCACTTTCAGGGACGAACAAAAAAAAAACAATAGGAATATCCGCAAAATATATAAAAAAATAATAAAGTAATTAAATAAGCTTTGCAATATACAATTGGGGAATGCTAATGTACTCCCACCTATTTTTTAGTGGGAGTATGTTAGCAACCTACACCAATTTTTTAGGACAAAAAAACCACTCATTTATTTTGATTTGGTTAATTCGTACAAAGGATATTATAGTAATTTAATTTAATTTTAAATGAAAATAAAAATATTTTCTCTCTCTTATTAATTTCATTCTCCAATTCATTTATTTTTTCTATTAATAAATTTTTATTTGTTCAGAGAGAGAGGAGGAAGACACCATGAGAGATGAAAGAGAAATGAGTTAAAGAAAGAATTTAATAGGAGAGATAAATAAGTTAGAGAAATAATTTAATAAGAAAGAGAAATGAGTTGGAGAAGAAATTTAATAAGAGAGAAATGATTTAGAGAATGAAATTAATAAGAGAGAGAAAATATTTTGTTTTCATTTAAAATTAAATTAAATTACTATAATATCCTTTGTACGAATTAACCAAATCAAAATAAATGAGTGATTTTTTTGTCCTAAAAAATTGGTGTAGGTTGCTAACATACTCCCACTAAAAAATAGGTGAGAGTACATTAGCATTCCCCTATACAATTATATTAGTGAATTATAAAATATTAACCTTTTTAATAAAAGTGAGTTTATATATAGTAATTTTTCAATAAAAAGAAAAAGTGGGTTATGCAATTTGATATAATGTGATATTCCTTTTGTAACTTAGGAATAAAATAAGGTAATGATTATTCAATTGTATTAAATTTTACTCTTTTTATAAATATCTATCATAAATTTTAATTTTATTCTAATTAATCTTTAAATTTTATTATATTTGTAGGGATGAAAATAAGTCAAACATTAATTAAGAGTCCATGACCTAAGATATTTAATGTCTAATCTAGCCTAACTTATTTAATAAAAAAATCATATTTAGACTTTTTAAAAAAAAGTCTATTTATGTAAAAATTGGACTTAGACTTTTAAAAAAATCTACTAGGCCTAATATGCCTACATATTTTACTATATAATATAATAAAAATTAATATACATATTACATTATTAATAATATAATTAAATATTTTTTACATTTTCACTATATTTAAACGTTTTATATTTTCTGTTCATATGAAATCAAAAAATAGAAAATAGAAACTCTCATAGTCTCATCTTCACATGCTCTTTTCCTTCATCATCATGTAAGGGTAATGGGTTAACCCACTTAAAGCAAGATTTGACAAAGTTGATCCACCAAAGAAATAGGGTGGGTCAAGTTAGCCCACAAAAGAAAATAGGTTAAAAAATGTAATTCACCCCACTTAATGGTGGGTAGGCAAGTTGACTCACTTTAGTGAGTTGATGGGTTAGCAAGTTGACCCACCTTCAACTCACTCAAATCCTAAAAATAAAATATCAATTGAAATATCTTAATATATATTATTACTTTAACCTATTTATTATTATTTGTAAAATTGATTAGAGGGATTATATTTTCTCATGCAAAAGGACAAAATAATCTATATTTCTATTAATAAAAAGACACTATTCATGAAAATATACTAGTAAAAAATATGAGATTAAAAATATATATCTATTTCATACAAAATGAGAATAATTACCTAGAAAGAGAAGTTAAATTATAAAATAAAAACACTAATCCAATATAAATTTATTACAAACTTATTCTTTAAAAGCATAAAACAAAAACAAAAATTGAGTTGGAAAGTAAGGTAAGACAGGTTGGGGAGGTTGGTGGGTTTATCTATCCAACCCAATTCACAAAAATTAGGCAGGTTGGTGGGTTGACCCACCGGGCTCAACCCACATTACCACTCCTATTTATCTTCATAATTAATTATTTATAACATTTAAAATAAGATATAGGAAATATTTAGAAAGTATATTTTTTTTATAAGATTACCCTTTTTTTGAGGTATTCCAAGCTTTTGAACAAGTTATGTAGCAAGCTTTGATGATGACGACTCTACCTTGGATTGACCTTTTAATGATGTCAAAATTAATGGGGAGGATGAAGAAGAGCAAAAAAAAAAAAAAAAAAAA